TGTCGGAATTGATTGCACTGGCTGCGCTTAATGGGCCTGCAGAGACCAGCATTTTCTCAGCGAAAGTCACAGTATCTGCAGTGTGTGTATATATATAGCAATTGCAAGTCAAGTGAAAGTCACGCAGTGTCACATTTGCACAGTTTGCTACCCAGCATAGCTCCCAAAAGTCGACACACTGATCGGTAACACTGCCCTAAATTAGACGAGCGTGATGCTTCTGAGCAAAGCGCCTATTCAACGCAGAGACGTCTTGCTGCTGTCTGCTATGAAGAAGGGCAATTGCCAGAAGTCACAGCTTTTTATTACTTTTCCTTTAGGTTCGATGTTATTATAAATGTGTGCATTGAGTTTTGGTTATTTGTGCTTGTGCATGGCTGCTAATGCAGTATCACGAGAATATTCTTAATCGTTAAAGTTATGTTATCGATACCTTTTGTTTTTTCGGTAAAGTCACGTAGGTAAAAATCAATAAAAGAAAATAAAACAACTAAAATTAAATCGCGACGTTTCAAATCTAGAATTAATTTTATCGAGTCAAACAACAGCAGGATTAATGTTAGATTACTTGCTTTAAAACTCAAGGCGTTTACCCACTCAAACGAGTATGGGTCGATAATACATTCCTGTTTACAACCCTGAGCCGGCATTCCACATTCCCGTGGAAGGGCGGTTGATGCTTTACATAGGACAACCACTGCTCGAAGGTGGTATTCACTTTCCTGATCTCAAGGAGCATGAACCACCACGAGAACTCCGATGGTCATCCTCGCAGCCGGCGGCTTTTGGCTGACCATCGAACAAAAGACGGTCACCGCATCGCGCGCTTTCAGATGCGCTTGTGCGGCCGTCTGGAACGCTCTTGCTTACGATATTAGAAAGCCACTGGGAGCTATGCACTTTTAAATCTAGATGTGGAAACTCATTTCTTGAGAACTGCTTTTTAGTGTTGAGTTTGTTGTCCTTCCCCCACCGCCTCCGATTTGCACGATTGGCCACGTACGGTGCGAAAGAAGTTCAACAACAACCCTGCCAAACGGAGGTGCGGGGGAAGGACAACAAACTAAACACAAAAAGCTATTCTCAAAAAAATGAGTTTCCAATCTAAATTGAACAGTGCATGGCTCCACTGACTTCCTAACATCGGAAGGAGGTGCATTCCAGACGGCCGCAGAAGCGCATCTGAAAGCACGCGATGGTTAGTCAAAAGCCGCCGCGAGGATGACCGGAGTCCGCGTGATGGTTTATGCCCCCTGACGAGCTCAGCAAGGTTTTGTGCTTCATTTGTGGCAAGCACTTCGTGTGTAACGAGTGCGACCTTACAAGTATTCGTCCGGTAACAGCACACAGTGCAATGGTCAGCACACTCGACTTGCATTCTAAAGGTCATTGGTTCAATTTTCCGGCACGGCAGTTTAAACAATGGCACTTTATTCATAAATCCCTCCAACTATGTCCACCCAGCAGCATACAGTAAATTGGTACACCACAGTAATGCACTTTCAAATCTATAATGAAAACTCATTTTTTTAAATGATTTTTGTGTTTAGTTTGTTGTCCATCCCCTGCACCTCCAATTAGCACGTTTGACTACGTACGTTGTGAAAGAAGTTCAACGTAGACACGTACAGACGATCGGAAAATAACGTGGCGGTGTAAAGTGTGGGTACTCCCACCTCCTCCCAAGACGTCTGAGTGGAAGAGTAGGCCAAACACCCTCGAAGGGGGAGAGGTTCTCTAGAGCCATGCTGGTGCAGGCCCTCCTGCCAGCGGTGGCGTGAGCAAAACAACCGCATGTTGACATCACAACCCAGGGTCACTTTACGTAAACGAGTCTCTTCTTGGACTCACCTGGTGAAAGAAAAGTAAACTTGAACCTTCACCATAACTCTCCCACAAACATTTCCGGTGATGGGTGGGGGGGGGCACGCAGCAATCAAAACCCCAGCGCCGTGCTGTACTCGTAATTATCCACCGGGCACGAGGCTGATTAAGAGAACCATCTTGAGAGAGGGATATTGTGGGGGTGTGTGTGTGCGTGTAAAACGACGGTCTCCCAGTTACGCGTCGTGCAAAGCAACGGTGCCACCCCACCTGAATGTTAATGTGAGGCCCCCACCCCGAAGCCGTGGGCCGCGTCCCAACACTCCCGGGCCTTTTGTGCGCTATCAGAAGCAGCGAATGGCATGACCGGGCTCCTCCTTTCAGCGAGTCAGGGACACAAGCGCACAAAGACACATACACACACACACGGGGTTCTTGTAGTTCTCATAAGGGATTCACAATGCCTTCTTTGTTTGACGCCGTTTAATTCTGTCTTGGGTAGAAAAGGGCCACTTGGTTAGGCTTGAACATCACTGCCAAAAAATATGGTGTACTACTGGCTCGATCTATATTCTTTTTTACTCGTATTTTATTTTTCACGTGCTCATGCTTTTAGCTTTTGTTGAACATTGGGGGGGAAAACCGCATTGGTTCATCAATTGATATGGATTATGATTTTTGTTCACCCGTTATCAGAAAGCTTTTGACGACCTCAAGCGATTCCTCTGCCAGATATTTTTTTTGCAGTTCTCAAAGTTGAGGCATTCCTCCTCTTTCAATGTTGAAAAAAATATATGATTCCCCCTAGTAATCTCCTTTACTTCATCATCCAGTCATCTAGTCTCTAAGCGACCTTCAGCTCATTTCCCTTGCGTGACCTGCGTCTCCAGGCTGTCTCCATCTCATCTAATTACACGCCCGTAAGACGCGTAATATTTCCCCTGATTTATTATTACGTGTCAGGATATATCTGGGTTTCCTATTCGCACCGGCACATCGGAGACTCGCGACACGAGTACACCTCTATCTTAACGCCGTTCATAAACTGTCCATTCAGAGTTTGGGCTGGGTTTTTATTTTTTTTGCAAGATTCAAACAAGTTGACATGGAAGTGGCCAGGTGGTTCAGAGGTCATCTCACTAAGCTGGCACCGCGAAGAAACCCGCTTTCAAATACAGACCACCGCCCGTGTTTAAACCAGCTGCCTAAGTGCAGCGAGTTCATGGGCTCATCCGAATCACCAATGACTGGACACATAAGCAATCATGTTAAAGGTGGCGTTCAACTTAATTTCGGTAACGACAAAAAAAGGTTGCCCTGAGAATTTAAATTATCCGTTTGATTGTTTTGCGACTAACGTTGCTGTGCAGTGGGGCAAAGGTTCAGTTTCAGTTTTTCAGTTTAATGTATTAGGTATAACCCTGTGAGCCATGCGGCTCTTGACTCGGGTGCAACCGCAACAAAACAAAAACATGAACAAGAAACATCTTAAACTGACTGCACGCAACAGAAAAATCGTGGAAAAAACAGCAGTCTTCCAGAAAAAAACACCGTATTTCAACGCTGTGTGCAAAAATCCCAGTGGGATGCAAGTCAAACAATAACAACCATAAGACAATGTAGATTAAAGTTATCAGGCTAACTCTACTCCAACAAACAAACATGGCTAAACCAAAACGTTTTCAAAATCACCAAAATAAAGCTATAAAAACTGTAACAGTGATCATAGGAACTGTGATTCAAATTGAACAATAAACGATATACATAACATGTACGACCAAACTTTGCAGCCATAGCTGGCTGCATGAGTCACTCCATAACGGCAGGAGCAAGGCACTGCCACCATGGTGTGGACAAGAGGCCTCTTGGAGAACTCAGAAGTAGCTCTGTGATATCCGCTTCTATGGACCATTCTGCGACGCTCTGGGAAAGTTTTCAATGGATTCTTTGTCTCGTGACGTCGAAAGCACAATGGGGACGAAACTATGGGAAAAGGCCAAAATAATTGTATTTGAAATGTTTTTAATACATATTTGATGACAATTACTAAATATTGAAGGTCACAGAGGAGTTAGAAATGGAGCGCTGGGTCCTTTATTATTATGACAAGACATCTCACCTCAACCGTCTGCTCTAGACACTTCGAATAGACTGTTTAAATAATTATACACGTGTACACTAAACCATTAATGTGCATAAGGACATTCACATGAGTCTCGCGTGGAGCACAATTAGTTCGGCTTGTCACCCGTGCGTGACCTTCATGTAACATTACCCACCGACTAAATTTTGAGTGCCACCAAATGTCAGCCGTGGGAAACGTGGTGGCGATCGCTGCAGCTGTGGCATTTAAACTCAACAATCTAACTTTGCATCTTGTAAAATGGTCAGGTTGTGGGTAGCACAGTAATAATAAATAAAACATATATCAATACTAATGAGCCCTTTGTCAATCCAATGCTGAATGTAGGCCTTCCCGTGGCATCGTTGGTCATGGAGTAGTGTTTGGCCATACTTCACCATGCTGGCAAGAAGGGGGGGAGATGTTTAAAACTAGTTGAGATTGTCACTGCAGAATGGTCCTCTTGCATGCAACTGTCAGCAGCCACGGTCAATCCGCTGCTGGATGAAGTTCTCATCAAGCCACCGCGCACCTGTTGAGCAACGTGATGTAATTTTTATGAGCACATTAAACATCGCGCCACTGACGATTACCACTGTCACACGCAACGCCTTATCTCTCTTCACAGCTGTGTGTGGGAGCGTGGCAGGGAAACTACAGCCTCAGATGCCAAAACACCCGCAGCAGTGGTGACGTAGACGTGAAGGTAAATATTTACTTTTTTTTTCCTTTAATAAAAATGTATACGTGTTATTTTTTTTTACCCACGAAAGCCTCACCTGATCTCAAGGCCATTTTCAGGAGGGTCTTGCTAAGTTTTGCTCCAGGTGAGGCGACGATGTTATACGTTTCTTTTTCCGTCCTTCCTTTCCCCCAGTTGACGGACCGATAGCGCATTAGCCCCTTGTTGCAGAGGTTCCATGTTCGAGCCAAACGGCCACCCTGGTTAATACAGTACCATGAAGAAGGGCCAGTGCCCAAAACGTCTCCTAATCATATATTTTCCCTTTATGGTTGGTGAGCGGGTGACTGGCGTGGGTTGGTGAGCGGGTGACTGGTGTGGGTTGGTGAGCGGGTGACTGGCGTGAGTTGGTGAGCGGGTGACTAGCGTGGGTCGGTGAGCGGGTGACTGGTGTGGGTCGGTGAGCGGGTGACTGGCGTGAGTTGGTGAGCGGGTGACTGGCGTGAGTTGGTGAGCGGGTGACTGGTGTGGGTTGGTGAGCGGGTGACTGGTGTGGGTTGGTGAGCGGGTGACTGGTGTGGGTTGGTGAGCGGGTGACTGGTGTGGGTTGGTGAGCGGGTGACTGGCGTGAGTTGGTGAGCGGGTGACTGGCGTGAGTTGGTGAGCGGGTGACTGGCGTGAGTCAGTGAGCGGGTGACTGGCGTGAGTCAGTGAGCGGGTGACTAGCGTGAGTTGGTGAGCGGGTGACTGGCGTGGGTTGGTCAGCGGGTGACTGGCGTGAGTTGGTGAGCGGGTGACTGGCGTGGGTTGGTCAGCGGGTGACTGGTGTGGGTTGGTGAGCGGGTGACTGTCGTGGGTTGGTGAGCGGGTGACTGGTGTGGGTTGGTGAGCGGGTGACTGGCGTGGGTCGGTGAGCGGGTGACTGGTGTGGGTTGGTGAGCGGGTGGCTGGCGTGAGTCGGTGAGCGGGTGACTAGTATGGGTTGGTGAGCGGGTGACTGGCATGGGTCGGTGAGCGGGTGACTGGCGTGAGTTATCAATCAACCCGACCTCTTTACATTGAATTCTGTCGAGTACGGCGCGATAGCGACCGAGCGCTCTGCCCCACTTCGGAACGCACGAACGAAGGTGCCACCGTTTTCACAAAAGAAACGCCCAGACTCTTCCGTCGCTTTCCCGCAGGTGGCTCGTGTTCTGTGGTGGTACTACTTCTCCAAGTCCATTGAGCTGATGGACACAGTGTTCTTCGTGCTGCGCAAGAAAATCAGCCAGGTCAGCGTGCTGCACGTCTACCACCACGCGACCATGCTGAACATCTGGTGGTTCGTCATGAACTGGATTCCCACCGGCCACAGTGAGCAAATAAGCACGCACTGCACGGTAGAGTCGGCGAGGCGATCGGCGGTCGAGCGATGAATTTACACCGATCCTTCCTTGAAGGCATCCAGGATAACAGACGTACGCTTCGCCTGATTGCCTCAGCCGCTCGAAGCACCTTAACATCACATCCTAACTCTCAACCTTACCAATAGATCCCTTGCTGCTATCCAGCCAGGGGACCCTCCCCACCCCACCCCCGGGACCCTACCCCCCCTCCACCTACCAGGGGCAGCTGTCCCTGTAAAGAATACGGTGTACGCGGTGCTGGCCTCGTGGGGTCAACCATCACGTCTTTCGCACCGTACGTAACCAACCGTGCTAAAACATATATGATTCTCAAATCGAATCGTTACCCAAGAACACGGCCCTCGAATCGTAACAATTGGCTGCATTACAATGGGGGGGGGGGGGATAAATCGTTATTTTCCTGCAACTCAGCACTCTCCTGCGTATGAGCCACAAGCCCTCTTGCGTATATGCCACCATCTTGGGTTAATGAATTATGCTGACATTTTTTGCTGCCACGAGCACTCGTAAAAGAAATCACCACAAGGTGCTCGCATGTCAGACCATGCTATTCACACAGAGGCCACTGAAATATAAATGCTCTACATGACAGCTTTGTTGAGTCAATTATTCATCGTGTATAAATAATGTACGGCGATGACCAAAAGACGACCAAAAGAGAAAAGCACTTTCCTGAAATTGTGTTAATATTTGGGGGGGCGGGGGGGGGTTGGGGGAAAGAGACATTTTAGTCTCGGCTCAAAATAGGTTCGCTCCAGTGGTGGCAAGGCGCAGTTCTAAGTGCACTGGGGTTCTAAACCTGGCCAACCGGACGACGATTTCTGGCCATGGCCAACATCAGCGTTGAACTTATTTCGCACTGTACGTAGCCAACCGTGCCAATCGGAGGTGCAGTGATATTTCAATCGCTCCTGGGCCCTGACCCCCGACTCCCACCCCACCCACCTCCAGCAAGGAAAAGTACGTTTCAAAAATACCCATGACCCACAAATGGCCTGGACAGGGTTTTTATTTTTTCATCAAGCGGTGGATTTACAGAGGGTTGCAAACAATTAATGTTATTATCATGCGGAGGTTACTGCGAGTATAATGCATTCTTGGATATAAGACACAAGACTTGAAGCGTGAATTTTCAACCTCTTCCGAGACGTCTGGCGAGTGTGGAAGAGTAGGCCAAACACCCTCGAGAGGAGCTCTCCCTCGAGCGGAGGCCCTTCTTGCCAGCAGTGGCGTGAGCAGGCGGTGCTGGCAGGGCTGCACTTTTACCCGTTAACCTTCTTACCTGATGCGCATTCCGAAAACGAGGTAACGCTCGCTGCGCTGCGACTGAAAATCCAACTGCCGACGTTATCTCTGCTCGTACGTTCGAGAAGAAGCAATATAATCGCACACTACAACTAGGCTCGTGTGGTCATATCAAGCGACTAACAGGCCATTAAAAGGAAACTTCAGTCCTAAAATTGTGTGGTTTGGCGATGGATGATAAACCACCTCCACTCGAAGTCGCCGTGCACGGAACGGCGCCCTGCACGTCACCCAGGTTCTGATGTGTAAGCATTTGTCAACGAGAAGAGTGCATTTTTGCCTGCGTCTGCGTAATCCACGTGATGTCACGCCAGCGCTGGCCGTTTCAGTTAAAGCCGCGGGCGTTTTATTGTCACCGTGGCGCGAACTCTGCCCTGTAACAAGACATGCAGTCGTTTGCAGTCCGGTTATTATTCGCCGTCAATTCCACCGAGCCAATACATTCAGTTCCACCCAGTGGTGGAGATCCCCTACCATCCCCCTCTCCTTCTTGAGACCCAGAACATGTCTACTTTATTAATATTTACCAGAGGAAATAAATCGAATATATTTTCTTTTAATGTAACGGTCCCATTTAAAAAGCCTGAAATGTAGCCCCCCCCCCCCCACCTTTTTCCCCCACTCTGGATATTCTTAAATCAGCCGGTGGCTTCACCTGTGACTAAATCGCCCGGAATATGCCCCATCTCATCAGCTGTCGGAAGCCAAGCAGGGTTGAGCCTTGGATAGTGCTTGAGATGGACGGCCACAATGTGTGCCAGGTTGCAATAGGAGGCTGCTGCATCGGCTATGCTACGTTCTGACCAGCAATTAGCAGTGCAGCGAAATCCACTGTTGCGCTGTACGTCTATGCTCCCGATGAGCACGGTTGTCTACGTACGTTGCGAAATAAGTTCAACGTGCATACGTACACCTTGACCAACCCTCACCGACCAGCGTGAGAAAAGATCAAATCATCCCCCGTGACCCACATGACGTGGAGAGGCCCTCATCCAGCAGTGGATTGACAAAACAGCCGTTCGTATGTGTGTAATTATGCATTGAAAAGCCCGGTTCATATTTGTATATATGTACACGCATCTAAAAAATAAAAAAACAGTAGTTTAGTGTAGCAGGGGAAAATGTGCAATTGTGCCACATTACCACTTGTGAAATTGAAGTTGGGGTTAAAGCTTATTCATAAATTCATGAAGGTACAGTGGTTCGAGGCTATTAACAATGAGCACGGTTTCGGTCACATTCACCCCACTGGTGTTTTTACGTTGCAATAAATCACCGGAAAAAGTGCTAGGGAAAGGTCACGTACGACAGTGCGATTACACAGGCCAGGCCAGAGGAAGCCAGCATCTTCCGTTGTTATATTGCACAACTAAATCTAGACTTGGACGACAGGCATTAAACCAAGGACAGACGAATCTGTGCATTTTCTTGGTTCTTTCGGTAAAGTCACGTAGAAAGGAAATAATAAAATAATAAAAATAAAACTATAAAATGTAATTCTCACGTTTCGGCCACAACGGAAGCAGCCGTCCTCAGGTGAAGAAACAGAGCTGTCGGAAAGACAGCGTCCTACTGAACAGACAGCGTCCTAATGAACAGTGTTAGGACGCTGTCTTTCCGACAGCTCTGTTTCTTCACCTGAGGACGGCTGCTTGCGTTGTGGCCGAAACGTCGTGAGAATTTTATTTCATTGGTTTCTTTTTATTATTTTATTATTTCCCTTCTACGTGACTTTACCGAAAGAACCAAGAATATGAATCTCTGCAGTCACGAAAGCTTTAAATCGAAATCTGTGCATTGTCGCAGCAGTAATTGGACAACGAAGTGGAAATTGTAAGACTGGCTTAGACATCTCTGCTGCAAAAGCCACGCAAGAAGAACTTTCGTTAATTTTGTTTCATTACAGTTGACAAAGGTGACCGGAGCGGGGAAGATACGTGGATGTGAATAATATCGTAGAATTGTGATTAATTCAATTAATCAACCTTCATTCTCTATATTCAATTAAAATGTCTTCCACCTATCATCATATGGGCTTTAAAACCCAACGAGGAAACGGGTAACTAATTGCCTATCATCTAATAAATTGTGCATGGCAAAATATTTTTCGGCATAATTGACAGCGTGGCAATTTTACAGTGGCGTCAATTTAATAGCGACGTTAACAAATGTTATCTCGTCTAACTGACGGCATGTACAATTATGAGCGATGTGGATTTTAATATTTGCTATTAGAAAACATATGGCACGGTTATGCCGAGTGACCTGCGTTTTACGAAATTTTACTGGAACCTTTATTCACACTACAAGTACAGCAAAGCACATGTTAAAATACATTTAATACATTCAAGACGGTCACCGCACCGCGTGCTTTCAGGTGCCTTTCTGCGGCCGTCTGGAATGCTCTTCCTTCCGATATGAGGAAGCCACTGAAGCTATGCACTTTTCAATCATTTAGATTGAAAAGGAATCTCTTGATAATTGTTTTTTTGCGTTTAGTTTGTTACTCTTCTCCCACACCTCCGATTAGTACGCTTGGCTATGTACGGTGCGAAAGAAGTTCAACGAACATACGTACATATATACGTAAAGAATGATGAGAACACTGACATTGAGACATTTGATATCGTGTCGTGCCATGACAAATCTAAACGCATTCCGTGTTCGAGGGTGGCCCAGTGGATGAAAGGTGAAAGTGTCGACCTGGCACATTCTAGAGCCTTGGCTCGAATCCAGGTTGCTGCCTCTGATTAAGCGGAACCCCCCAGTGTAGTGATGTAATGATCCAAGCTGAACACACCAATGATGCACACACACACACATCAAATTAAAGTCGGTTTTGCTGTAGAGTTTTGCCAAAACTTACAGCTCCAAGACTTACAAAAGCCCGGTTGGCTACGCACAATGCAAAAGAAGTTCAACATGCATGAGGTCACTGGAAGGAATCTCAGAGGCAGCTCTCCGGTATCCGCTTGCACAGATAAGTTTTGTAACAGGAAGTGTTGTATTGCTCTGTGCGAGTTCTGAGTGAATGATTTGTCCCAATACATGACACTGGCAGTGCAAGTGGGATAACATCGGGAAGGGGGGAGGGACGACGACGACAAAGGGGCCGTCCATAAATGACGTCACGCACCTTGGGGGGGGGGGGTCAGAGATTTGTGACGATGTGTGACGAGGGGGGGAGGGGTTGAGAAATGTGACGTCACATCAAAATGCACAACTTTTAATAGTTTAAAGCGATTTGAAGCATGTATTTTTTTTGGGGAGTGGGGGGGGGGCAGAGCTTTGTGACGTCATATTTGAGGGGGGGGGGTCTATTTGTGACGCCGTGTGACGAGGGAGGGTGGTCAAAAATCATCCTAAATCGCGTGACGTCATTTATAGACGGCCCCAAAGGCATGTTTTACTCCTCACGGGTTGTTGTGGAGCATCGCGTAATTAAATCATCAACCTGCCATCCTGCACCTCATATAGGTTGATGGTAGCCCAGTGGCAAGCGTACCATTTCATGAAGAAAAAAACTGCTCTCCCGAGTTCAATTACTGCCCGGGCTAATATCAGTGATGAGTGATAACTGAACCGGTCCTTCACCCACCAGCATTGGCCGGTGTGGTGAAGTATGGTCAAGTGTGTTCAAACAACCCTCACTGCATGGAGCAGCCTTCATCCAGCAACAGAATGAAACCGTTGCTAGACGACCTAACTCCCCACAAAATGCATAATAACATGTTAAATATAGGAATTGTGATGATTTGAGTTATGTATTTATTGAAGACACTGACTTGTCCCAATAAAACGTTCACTCCTCGCAGCTTTCTTTGGGCCGATGTTGAACAGCTTCATTCATATCATGATGTACTCCTACTACGGGCTGGCGGCTATCCCTGCAATGCGGCCATACCTCTGGTGGAAGAAATATCTCACTCAAGCACAGCTGGTGAGGCACTCATGCAACACCCTTGCACTAAATTTGTCTTTTGGGAACCTCAATCAAACGTCATGTTTACAGCTCTATGGGAATGAGGGAAGCACGGGCAGGTGGACGGAGACACGGCGAGGAGACACGGGGAGGAGAGACACGAAGAGAAGGGATATATAAGGGGGCATGGGGAAGACATTGGGAGGAGAGAGGCAAGATGAGAGGAGAATGAGGGCAAGGAAGGATACTCTACTAAAGTTAAACTATTTTTATTTTACCAAGTAAGGCCCACTGAGCTATATAGCGCCTTTTCAGAAGCTACCTGGCCACAAATGATAGCTCAACTAAGTGGCTTATCACGTGGAATTTTATAGCAGCCAAATACTCTAAACGCATGCAGATTTTTAAATGTGGAGGGGAAAACCGGGGGACCAGGAGAAAAATCCACGCGAACACGGGGAGAGAGACACGCAAACTCCCAATATACAGCAGGCATCTCAGGGTTGGAATCGAATCCATGACCTCCTGTATATCAGGCGAGGTAGGTAACATTTTGCTACCGTGGCATCCCAAGGACATGGGGAGATACGGGAATATGGAGGGAGACACAGGGAAGGGGAGAGAGACACGGGGGACAAGAGGCACGTAGTAATATACACAGGAAGATGCACAGGGCAGCTTTTAAAAAGGAAAATCCATTGTTACACGACACTAATTTGCTTTTCCAGCAATTCCACGACCCTCTCCCCCCACCTTCACCAAACTGCACTAACCAGTGTGGTGAAATATGGTTTTAAAAAAAATCTAAAACCCTGCACAGATGTGGGAAGGCAGTGGTTGAAAAAGAGGCCTCAACATCTACGTGCTTTTTTAAACATTTTAAATGTAGAAGATATTTGGGATATCATAAATGTGCTTTCTACACAAAGTAAATGAACGCATCGCACAAACGATACTATGCAGCAGTTGAATGAGCACAACTACGTTGCTGCGTAACTATCAGACACGATTGGTGCCGAGCTGGTGATTGTAAGAATATTGTGGCCAAAATCACGGGGAAACGCATTCGCTGCAAGTCGATGACACCCACCTCACATTTGCTTTCAATTTACAGATCCAGTTTGTACTCACAATTGGGCAGACGATATCTGCCATCGTGTGGCCTTGTGGCTTCTCCATCCCGTGGCTCATGTTCCTGACGGGCTACATGATTTCCCTCACCTTGTTTTTCATCAACTTCTATGTGAAGGTGAGCTTTTGGTGGTTGTTACGTCATGGCAATAAGTGTGGCCAAAGGCATTCTCCCCCTCATGTTTTCATAACGGTTTTTGTATTTTAAAAAATAAGTATAGGTTTTTAATTCTAGATTTTAAGCTTTCGTGACTGCAAGGATTCATACGCTTTGGTTTTTTCGATAAAGTCACGTAGGTAAAATAAATGAAAACTAAATTAAATCACGACGTTTCGGAGGCAACACAAGCTTCCGTCTTCAGGTGGAAACCGTCACAGCAAAATTGCTGTATCAAATGAAGAGAGCTCGATAGGTTTTTACCCTTTCTGGAAATAAAACAGGTGTTAAGATGTTCGAACGCCAAATAAGATAACTATTGCAAGGAATCAGATCTGCTTTAACCACACGTTCTTGTGGCAAAACATGTAAATAGAGACCCTCTGGTAACATACGCGGTGTCTTTGAAACGAATTGGCCTCCACGAGAGACGGGCCTTCTTTGTGACCTTGTCTCAAAACCAGTGTCAGGCCAGAGAATGCCAAAAGGCGAACATTACAAAGACGATCCAAGTATTAGAGCAGTTATAGCTCGGGTTGAGCAGTCATATCTGCAGGAAATGTGTTGCTAGTATCAGAGTATGAAAAATAATAGCTTAAGAATGGCAACAAAAAAGGGTCTCAGTTTTTAAATTGTTTGTTGTAACTTTCTGACTCCATGGTCCCTACTGGACATGTGGAAAAAAAAAGAGCTTCATAGCTCATCGGATTTCTCCAGGATAAAGATTCTGATTAATGCTGCACTTAAGAATGCCGATAGGTGGTGGGAGTATATATATATACACACACGTGAATATACGTTCTGCACATTACGCGGAAACATTTGTGTTCTCAGATCCAACTATGCTCCGATAAAAGCACCCGTATCGGTGGTTGTAGCTATCGAGTGTGCAGGCAGCACAACTGCACCAGGCCCCACCAGCTAGAGGGGCCCAATCAGTGGAACTACAAAGGGTCGTGGTAAATCGTACAAATGGGCCCCATTTAATTCCTAACACGAGGTGCTCTTCATAGCATAGCAACGACGCTACACCACCGATTCTTCAGTACTTCAAGTGTACCAGTTTATAACCCTAGGTTTTTCTGATATTAAAACTTTATTTCACAAAAATGCACACTGGATTCTTGTAAGGACATTTAAAGTTGTACGCAATGCATACCGTTAACGTAGGTTTTCGAGGTTGTGCTGCGTACCGCCGAGGTGTTTCCAGGTTTGTATCGCGGGTTTATTCGGCACGACGTCTGACGTTTCGCTCCACTTGCTTGGGAGCTTCTTCAGTAACAGACACTTCAAAACGTCAGACATCATGCCGAACAACACTCCGGTACAACCTAAGGAAATGCACAATAGGGAATGGCGCAACAATTCATGTTCTCACTCATCCCGTCCCCGTCCGGCCTAGACATACAAGAGTCGTCGTTCAAGACAGCACTTGAAATCGAGAGAGGAAGAGAGCGATTATAACGGCTACAGCAATGGACACTCCATCACCATGGAGACCAGGACTGTCGTTCGCAAGAAGGTTGCTCTGGACTGAGGCGATTCCCTCCAGACATCGACTTCCGAATGACCGCAGGCAACAGTGAAAACGCACGGCAACTGCAGAAACATCGACAGCGATGAGACGCGTGACGCGATTAGTCCAAAACTAGAACCCCGTGGTCAGCCATGTTCTTGCGTTCACTTTGTTTTTACTAAACGCTTTACTTTTATTTTTGTTGACCTGCAAAGCTAAATTAAGCACAATGATGATTTGACCGGTTGCCTGACCGGACCGACAAGGGCAAGACGGTTTTTGCGATGCATTCCAGGAGTTTGAGCCACGTAAGGGGCCGCAGAACGTGTAAGCGCAATAATCCAGGATGAATACAATTCCTTAAAAGTGGCTGCCGGTGTAAGGAAAGGTGAAGTTTTTGTAGCTTGATTTTTTTAAAGCTTGAATGTTAATTATTCACGATGCCAGCAATTAATCGACATGTATATTTTGGCATTGCTGGAATGTCAGCGAGCAGCAGTGTCATCAGCAAGGTGGACATTTTACATAGTTTTGGAAATTTATAAAAAGCTTGATTTTTTACAGGGGTTGTTAAGAAAAACAGGGGAAAATGTTTTAGTTCAAAAATAAGTCCAAATTATTAAAACTCAAACAACTTACAAGTAAATATTTGTAAAGCTAAAAGTTGTAGCCCGCTGTCAATTCTGTTGAAATGTTATTTTTTTATGAAAGATGGCAACTAAAAAAATTATCCAATTAATATTGCTGAATATATCAAGAATAAGTATGCTGTCTAATCATGTTGACAGAATCCAAATTAGTTCCTAAGATGCCTGTGAGCAATCTTTGGGGCTACATTTGTATTGGAGGAATAAAATAATTCCCACCCACTACGATCCAATCAACTGCTTTGACTCAGGACCACGATTCAATTCAATAATCAATGTTTTTTGTGGCAAACGTAGCAGCCTCGAGCAGCTGCAGAGGGATCGCATGAATACATTTAATAAATATTCTCGCACAATTCAACGTCAAGTACCGTGAGCTTAAGAATCACAGGTGAGAAACCGGTGTATTCTTATACCCCTAATATGCAAGTTCTTACAACGGAAGAAAAACGTGGCTCTGAAAGCTTCGCAACACGATACTTAAACGCAACCGTAACGGGCACCTCGGCCCCCGGCACTCTCCTTCAGTGAATCACAATGTGATTTACAAGCAGGTGTGGAATCTGTGATGAGATTATTAGTCCTCGTGTAGGCAGTGGAAGAGTTGCCTGTCAAGGTCACACCTCGATATTACAGTTGGTGCGTTGTGCGAATGTTTAAGCTATCACATGACCTTTGAATTTTGATTTAAAGCTTTCGTGACTGCAGGGATTCATGTTCTTGGTTCTTTCGGTAAAGTCACGTAGAAGGGAAACAATAAAATAATATAAATATAAAACAATACAATTCTCACGACGTTTAGACTGCAACACAACCAGTCATCATCAGGTGTGAAAACCACAACAAGATAATTTAAAAAAGTGGCAGTTTTTTAACGTTAGCACCACGGATAGCGATTTGACAGTTTGTTTAGATGGACGAGTCCATCTCTGTTTGGAAAAGAGGAGGGGGGAGACGAAAAATAATGGATGCGGTCTGAAAGCCACCTTAAGCGTGATCAATCAATTAAGACCCGAAATGGTTTATCAAATCCTTCCAATGATTGCTAAGCCAGAATCCATCTTCTCGGTTGAAATTGTCTCTGTGTTTGTATATGTGGATAGCCTCATGAACGAATCTCTCATGGTAGCCAGATGGCTTGCAAATAACCTCTGTCTTGGAGAAGTCAATGTCATGTGAACCACATTCGTGAACACAAAGCAGACCTGAAACACGGTAGGACCAACACCTCGGCCGTGGCAGATCACTGTTATAATTCAGTCGGTTCACATGACATTGACTTCTCCAAGACAGAGGTTCTTTGCAAGCCATCTGGCTACCATGAGAGATTCGTTCATGAAGCTATCCACATCTACTAACATAGAGACAATTTCAACCGAGGAGATGGATTCTGGCTTAGCAATCATTGGAAGGATTTGATTAACCATTTCGGGTCTTAATTGATTGATCACGCTTAAGGTGGCTTTCAGACCGCATCCGTTATTTTTCGTCTCCCCCCTCCTCTTTTCCAAACATAGATGGACTCGTCCATCTGAACAAACTGTCAAATCACTATCCGTGGTGCTAACGTTAAAAAACCGCCACTTTTTCAAATTTTCTTGTGGTTTTCACACCTGATGATGATTGCTTGTGTTGCAGTCGAAACGTCGTGATAATTTTATTGTTTTATGTTTTATTATTTTATTGTTTCCCTTCTACGTGACCTTACCGAAAGAACCAAGAATATGACCTTAGAATATACAGGAAATGGAAAAAGTATTAAGTAAGTTTTTTTTTCCAAGTGTTAAGAAAAAGGCAATACTAATATTGTACACATGGTACTTGACTGCCACCTGAAAGTATTCATAAACACACCATAATTGTAGGACTAAATTGCAATGAAAAAATATATTAATATTATATATTAAACAATTGTAAACTACCTTATATTATTAAAATCAGCATGTGCGACTAGCATGTGCCTTAATGTACACAAACTACTGTTTAAGTGTGATTATTAAAAGTATGGCTAATAACAAAGTAATGTTAATGATCTTGTAAGTTTGCTAATCATGCTGAGTGCTTCAGCCCTGGGAATAAAAAAAACACAATAAAGGCACTTCAAATGAAACCGTGTACTTTGCTATGCCAATTGCCATTGTCGCGTTGTTCTCCATGACCTAAGATCGCACTTCTAACCTATATCGCGATTTCTTTTTTTGCGTGCGACACTTGCCTGTGAACACATCTTTCCCTATTCAACACCAGCAGGGCGTATCGTGTGACGTCAATGCCTCGCCATTTCAAGCCATGCAGATCCCGCAGTTAAAATATCTACGCAGCACACCGTAGCTTGTAAGGTTTTCATAAGCGTTTAATTCTAAAGCTTATCAAACAAGTACATGCGTAAGATTCACCACTAGAAATTGTATTGTTAACAAAAATCAACATGGGCAACATTGCCCATGAAAAAAGCTTTATTTTACGCTAAATTTGCATGAAGAGGATGTTGGATTAACCATTAAATAAGCAATAATTCGCAACAGACTTCAAATGTAGGTTTTTGTAGCCAATAAATGCAATGACCTATATTCGTTTTTGGATTTAGGTCACGAAGTAATTTATGCCAACAATATATTTTTATGCCCCAGTCAGCAATTAAAGGACTGCATCTTTACCTTGTATTTCATTGTCAATGATAAGAATGTTGGCATAAAACTAGTGTGTGGCATAACCGAAAATTAAATATAGATCAATGGATAATTATCACACACTGATCAAGTTCATCAATGTACATATCAGCATTGTACATCTCATTAAATTAACATTCATCTAGATATTTGGCATACGTATATTTTGAAAATGCAACTTCAATCTTCCTGTAGTTAATGTGGACACCGTTCTTCCTTGTCCGGAACTTTTCCGTCAAATGTAAGAAGCCGTGAATGTGGCCTCAAGCGTTTGTCGAACTTGATTCAGCTCTTCTCTTTGCTGAAGAAGCAATATGACAAAGGGCCAAAGGTTACCTTACAAACCATGCTTTACAATGTAAGTGAAATATAGACCAGGAAGAGGCATGTCAGATGCTGCCATGGTGAAACAATTCGCACACGGGAGATCAATGGTTGAATCTCCTGGTGCAGTTGTTAAAACAAGGGAGCAAACGAATCTCAAATACTCTCACCTCTGTCCAATCAGTAGTATTAATAGGTACACCAAAGTCAAATGTAGTGAGGTAAAATGTGAGTACTCCCAACTCTTCAAGAAGTCTGGCCAGCATAAAAGAGTAGGCCAAATACCCACTCGAAGGACTCGATAGAGCTACCCCTAATGAAGGCCCTTCTGCCAGTAGTGATGTGAGCAGGTAATTATAGGGCTGCACCTGTACCTTTTTATAAGCGCGTTAAAATGTGTTGCACACTTACAGCTTCATTCAAAAGACGGTCTTGGTAGACTTTCAATTCTTCCCGCAGTGTCTGAGTCTAAAACAATTGCAATAAAAGATGGGTGTTAAAAAATCTTTCAAACATCACTTTTCCAAATGGATCACCAAAAATGCTTCCAATCTCATCACATCTCAGAAACTAAACCAGATTGATCCTGCACAGTGCTTGGATTGGCAACCATCATCCAAGCATATCAAAGTTGTTTGGTAGAGGCTGTGTGGCTATGTCGTTGGGCAGCAGAAAGCACAGTTTAACACTAAGCTTTCACGACTAATATTATTCACAATTGTGCGGCCTGGAAGCATATTAAGTAATACATCTTACAACTTGTATTCCTTACAGAGTAAACATATGCTAAATAACTGATTACTAATCTATTATATAATTGCAATAACCCCCCTCCGCCTCGGATCTCTCGACCTGATGGGTTCACAGTTATGATGTCATCTTGCTCTATTTAAGACCGGAAGCAGGTGGATTACTTCACTATTCTGGCAAATCGCCTGATGCTGGATGTAATTACCTGCGAAACGTCGTACTTAAATTGTAAATGTTGTGGATTTACTCTCCAACACACCGGTGGGCTGAAGTATTAACTAATTGGCACGCGTTGTTTACGTGACAAACCTTACTGGCTGCGTCGGGTGGTGGAGGGTAACGACACATTAATACTTACGCGATCTGACCCAAAATACTTTATTATGAAGAAAGCAGCGTGGCAAGCATTAGATGTTGGTGCTGTACTTGCTACACCTCCACATGTAAACCCTCAACGGTTAAGTAATATAAAATAACCCATGATCCTCCAAGTGTGAGGAGGCCCTCATCCAGCAGTGGGTTATAAAAGGGCTGTACACATCCTAAACCATGCAAAGTGACAGCAGTGTGCAACGTCTTGAAGAAACAATGTAATGAAGAATACTTACTCCATTTTCAATCATATTCCTCTCTTCATATTCAGACTGATGTTGACTTTCCACAAATAGGCTTTGCATTCGTTTCAGCCTAGAAAACAATTCCGGTATTTAAACCAGGTTAGTCTATGGCTGCATAACTAACAACAACAAAAAGACCGGACATAAACATTCTGCGTTCAAATGCACTGTGAGGTTTGATGAAGATAAAGGTTTTCGGGAGATTTTTTTTTTATGCAAATGTTTTCCTGGGGGAAAAATATAATGAAAAACACAATTCCACTAATCTAAATGGTAACCTGACAAATTAATCAATGCAAGTGTCAAGGAGTTCCAGCCCAGGTAACCCTTGAACTCCGACTTCATTACGTCTTCAACACAACACTTCAGGAAATTACTGCCTTCAGGCGCCACATGAACCCTTTCCTCTCCACTCATTTTATCCTCTTCCCGATCCTTTCTAGAATGTTTCCCTGACTCTCCACCAATCCCCTTAATTTATCCTCAGTCTCCCAAGCCACTCATTTGCATTAGTTTATATTTTTGCCAGGCTCTTTCAAATTACCCTGATGACCAATCTGATTTGAATGGTTCTCCATCTTCTAAATCATATTGTGTGCTCAAGATCAGCTCCCCCTGTTGTGATAAGTCACCAACCAGAGTCTAGCATGCTATTGGAACCCACAGGCCGTTAGAACCAGTGAGTGTATATTTGTGTATTTCTTAATAGGGTTTCTTCTTGCCTCTCGGCGTCACTTGAACAAGTGTGCAATGAAAGACAAGTGCATTTTTTAATATTCGGCAAAAACTACATCAGTGAAAATTCCATAAATGTAACTTTCTTAATTAACAAGCTTAGATATGTTCATAGGGCTTGATGGACAATTATGAATTGATATAAAATACAAACCTTTCTTCTTGCTTTATCCTGAAGGTCTTGAACGATTTT